TTTGATTGCTGGCGTGGACGCGTGAATTGTGATTCGCGCGCGTCGGTGACGCTGGACGCGCGCGCGTGGGATGCGAGCGGTGGTGACGCGCGCGAGACCGTTGGTCGGATCGGTGGTCACGCGCGCGCGACGCGTGGGGTGGACGGGGGGGCGGAGCTGGGGAGGATGGGCGCGCGCGGGACGCGGACGGGTCGCGTCGACGCGGGGGCGGGACGGAGACGCGGGCGGGGACGCGGGAGACGGCGACGGGAGAGGTGATCGGATGAAGGAGAGGACGATGGGACGGAATGATGTTCGAGAGCGGGCGAGCGCGACGCACGTGAGTAATCTGAGCGCGGCGGCGGCGAGAGAGCTCAAGCACTGGAGCGCGACGAGCGAGGCGGAGCGAAACGACCAAGCGGCGACGAAGGTGTTCTGTAATCGATCGCTGAACATGAAGCGAATAGACGCGATTGGATTCGATATGGATTATACGTTGGCGATGTACAAGCCCGAGACGTTCGAGATGATGTCTTACGAGGAGACGGTGAAGAAACTCGGGAGCGAGTACGGGTATCCGAGCGAGGTGCTTCGGGAGTTTACGTTTGATCCGCACTACATGGTCCGGGGATTGGTCGTCGACAAGAAGCGAGGTAATATCTTAAAGATGGATCGACACAATTACGTCAAGGTGGCGTATCACGGATTCTCCGCGCTGGCGACGGATGAGCGGTTGGCGACGTATTGCGAGACGAGCAATCGTCCGAGCTTTGACGGGCCGGCGTTCAGCGCGTTGGACACTCTCTTCTCCATGGGTGAAGCGTACTTATTTTCGCAGCTCGTCGAAGCGAAGGATTTGGGAAAGTTTAGCGACTTTTTCGATGGCAAGTCGTACATGCAAATGTACGACGAGATTCGCGCCGCCGTGGATCTGTGTCACAGAGACGGAAGTCTCAAACAGGCGGTGGCGGAGAATCCGGAAAGGTACATTGCCAAGGACGATGGTCTGGTGCCTCTGTTGAAGGGTCTGCGGGCGAGCGGTAAGCAAGTGTTTCTACTGACAAATTCTCTGTGGGATTACAGTAACGTGGTGATGAATTACATCATCGACGGACACGTCGGCGACGCGAAGACGCTCGATTGGCTAAATTTGTTCGACGTCGTCATCACTGGAAGCTCCAAACCCGGGTTCTTCGCCAACGACTCCTCAACAATATTCGAAGTGGACACTAAAACGGGGCACTTGCGTAATACGGATAACGGAGCGCCACTGACGCCGATTGGAAGCGTACAAGACGTCACGCACAAACGAGCGCTCGCGCGAGGATTGAGCGTCGTAGGCGCCGGGCCGGCGAGGGTTTACCAGGGTGGATCCTACACCCATCTGCACGCAATGTTGGGTATAGAATTTGGATCAAGATTACTGTACGTCGGGGATCACATCTACGGCGATATTTTGCGCGCAAAGAAGCAAATCGATTGGCGCACGATGCTCATCGTTCCCGAGCTCGCGCACGAGATTGAGATTTTGGAGGCAAATAAAGAGAAGCCTCACGCGCTGAGACGTCTGCGGACGCTTCGAGACGCGCTCGACGATCAAGTTGCGCGGCATTCCTGGCTTGCAGAGCAAACCGATGATTCAGCGAAGAATAAGGCGGAGCTGCAGCGCGCGCAGCAGTTATCGGACGCAGCGCGCACCGCACATCGCGAGGGTATGCGAGCGTATCATCGCGAATTTCATTACGTTTGGGGTCAACTCATGAAAGCTGGTTCCCAGAACTCTCGATTTGCGTTCCAGGTGGAGCGATATGCGTGTCTGTACACGTCTCACGTGCGAAATTTGTGGGGCTACTCTCCTCAGAAAGTGTTTCGGGCGGCGAGTGATTACGCGCCGCACGACTTGGACACCGATGAGGATTTTCACGATTTTGACGCGGCGGCGTTGACAGATCCCGCATCTACGATCGAGTAGATGACTCGCGGTCCTGGAATCAGTGAGTTTGACGATTGAACGCGATCGGGGGATCGATAAGTGCGGGCATGGTGGAAGAGACGAGCGCGATGCTCGGAGCGATCATCATTTTAATGAAATTTGGATTCGAGGCAATGTATTAAAACACGCTCCGTCACTTCCTAACTCTAACGACCATGACTCGACCGTCTTCGTCTTCATCGATTTTATTAGCCGCGACGGCGGTGGCCAAAAATGCATCCATCGCTTCGATGAGTTCGACGCCGACTCGGCACGAGAGCTTGCGCATCGCGTCCGCCGTGCCCCGGTCGAGCGTCTCGCCACCGGTCGTGAATTCCCCGCACACCATCCCATCTCGATCGACCCCAACGCTCATCGACGCCTCCGCGCACGCCTCTTCCTCGTCCGTGGCGTCGACGACGCCGTGTTTCCCAATCTTCGTCGTCGTCGCCACGACGCCGCACCTCGACACGTCCACTCTCGTGCACGCGTCCGGGTCGTCATCGATCTCCAACTCTCCTCCCTCCCCATCGCTCCCCACACCGACGAGCGAGACCTTTGGAATCTTCGTATCCGCCAGAGCCCCTCGCACCGCGACGCTCAGCGCGTCCAGCATCGACCCTCGATCGCACGCGCACACCGCGTCCACCGCCAGCGTCCACCGCGCCCGTCCCGGTCGCACGCACAGCGACCGGAGATCGATCCCACCTCCATCCCAGGCGTCCACGCCGCTCCCACTCGCCCTTCCGCTCGCGTCCGAGACCCCGCGTTCGCGTCCCGCGACGACGCTCTCCAGGCGTCGCCGCAGCGTCTCCCCCACCGCCGCCGCCCGCCCCGCGCGCGTCGTCGCGATCGAACTCGCGTCGACGCGCAGGACGATCGCCCCCACGTCCGACGCCTCCCACGCCTCGATCGCCGTCACGTCGCATCGCACCGCGGCAACGCACGAGGTCTCCCCCAGCGTCACCGCGCACGACCCGTTCGCGTTCGGCACGACGCCGATCGCCATCCGCAGCGCCCGACGGGTCGCTCGCCCGCGTCCGTCTTCGCGACAGTCATCCGCGACGCCGTCGCGGGCGTACGCGCGGTCGCCGCCCATCGCGCGGCGTCGTGGCGCTCGAGAATGGCGTTCGAATGGGTCTTTTCGCGATGCGCACGTCGTCGTCATCATCCGCACAACGCGCGCGCGCGATGCGGGCGATCGCGCCCGCGCGCGCGCGCGATCGCACGGATGAATTTTGTGCCATCGCCGCGCGCGCGCGCACCGCGCTCGATCCGGCGAACGGGCGCGGACGCGCGCGAGAGGGGAATCACGACGCGCGCGCGTTCGCGCAGGTGCGATCTCGACGACGCGTGGTCGCGCGCGCGACGCGCGGGGACGACGGGCGAACGCGTGGACTGACGCGGCGGACGTGTTTTCATCGCACGCGGTAGATGGCGTCGGCGATCGGACGCGGGATACATCGAACGTCGCTCGAACTCGAGCGCTTGAACGCGCTGGCCAAGGCGAGCTCGTTGATGGATGACAAGGCGCGAGAGATCGCGGAGGCGTCGGCGGTGATCAAGATGGAGATACAGCGCCTGAATGAATCGCTCGTTGAACTGCAAAACGTGCGGGCGCGAGGGGGGGCGCGGGGGGAGGGGAGTAAGACGGCGAGCGATCACGACGGCGCCGTCGTGGACACGTTGAAGAATCGCTTGGCGACGGCGACGAAGACGTTCAAGGAGACGCTCACGAATAGACAGGCGAGCATCAAGGCGGGAGAAGAGCGGAGAGCGATGTTTGGCGCGTCCGCGGGACCGAGCGCGGTGAATGCGGGATTGGATTATCTGGGAGACGACGCGTTCGCGCGCGCGATGCGCGCCGGAATCGGCGGAGGCGCCGGATTCGGTAATTTACAGGGATCCGGCGCCGCCGCGGCGAATGCGTTCGTTCCGCGACCGGATGCTCCCGGTCAGGGCGTTTCTACGCCGTACGCGATGCAAACGCAGGATCAAATGCAGCTGTATAATCAAAACGCGGCGTACGCAGACTCGAGGCAGGAGGCGCTGCAAAACGTCGAGCGCACCATCACCGAGCTCGGCGGAATCTTCCAGCAGCTCGCCACCATGGTGAGCGAGCAGGGTGAACTCGCCATTCGCATCGATGAAAACGTGGACGACACGCTCGCGAACGTCGACAGCGCCCAGGCCCAGCTCCTCAAGTACCTCAACTCCATCTCCAGCAACCGCTGGCTCATCATGAAGATCTTCGCCGTGCTCATCTCATTCTTCACCTTCTTCATAGTCTTCATCGCTTAGTCTCCATCGCGCACGCGTCGTCTCCACCGTCTGCGTTGTCACACAAAAACCACTCCTAGCCGCGCCTCTTCGTCCCGCGTCGCCCCAGCGCGCGCCTCGCGTGACGATGCCCCTTCTCACCGCCGTCACTCGCCGCGTCTCCGGCCGTGACGTCGTCATCCTCACCACCCAACGCGCGTGCGACGTCCCCGAGATCGCGGTCGAGCTCAGGGACGTCGACGACGCGCGCGCGTTCGCGGGACAGTTGACACCGCCGCGCCGCGACGACGCCTCCGCGCGCGTCGCGCTCACCGATCCTCGACGGCAGCTCGTGGACGACGTGTTCGAATTCGCGCTCGAATCGTGCGCGCGCGAGAACGAGGTGGAGCTGGTGTGGAGGTACGACGCGGCGGCGTTCGAGGCGACGTTCGGCTCCGGCGCGCGGCGCGGCGACGGCGACGAGAGCGACGGCGACGGCGAATACGCCCGACGTCGTATCGGTGTGGTGACGTTACGCACGATGACGCATTGTATCGATCGAACGGTCGAACTGGCGCGCGTGGTGGAGGAGCGAACGCTGGGACGGATGGCGGCGGAGGCGACGAGCGCGGCGCTCGAGCGCACGAGCGCGGCGCGTCGAGCGCTGAGCGAAGAAGCGACGCGGGCGGTGGAGGAGACGAAGGAAGACATGGCGAGACGATTCTTAGCGCTCATGAATGCGAAAAAGATGGAGATCATGCGGTTTCGCGAGGAGTTGGCGAGCGCGGAGACAGAGTTGGAGGATTTACGGGCGCGGTGCGAACGCGCGCGCGGAGCTTCCGTCGCGGGCGACGACGAGGGGACGTCGACGGGTGGAGCGAACGGCCGAGAAAGTGACGACGACGACGACGACGCTGAATATTACACCACCGACGAGGATCTCGATCCGACGCAGAGAGGCGGTCGCGTGTCGGCGCGTAAACGTTTCGGCAAGTCTCAGACGCAACCGACGCAGAGTGAGCGCGGAGGCGCCAAGCGTCCGAGCGAGATTCCGCGCGCGTCGATCGATGAGAAGGAAGGTCGAGCGAAGCGAAAAGTTCCCTCGAAAGATAAGTCGTTCCTCGCGAACACGCTCGCCCTGCTCGACGCGGATTAAGACGACGCTCGGTTTTCATCGCTACATCCGGGAGACGCGTCCCGCGCAGTCGTCTCACGTCAATCCGTGTTCCGCCATGTACTTCGCCACGCTCCCGTCATCGTCCTCAACCAACGTCCCATTCTTCCAACACCCCGTGGCCTCTCCGATCGCCTTATTCTTCTCGTACTCCGCCTTGACCGCCGCCGCGTCGCCGCGCCACTTTGGATACCGCGCCAAACTCTGCGTCCCCATCATCTTCGACGCCTTCACCCGCAGCTGCAGCGTGTCCCACTCCGGGAGCAATTCCCGCTTCATCACCCCCCACGCCCCGACGCCGTGCGTCTCGAGACCTCTGAGCAATCGCTCGCGCTCGTCGTCGCCCCACTTTTTACTCTGCGTCTCGAAGACGACTCTTTTCGGTTTAAAAAAATTCTGATCGATCGATCCGTCCGATCGCAGGGCGTCCGCGCGCGTCACCACCGCGCGCATGTCGTTCGCCCATCGCACGCGCGCGTCCGCGGTCGACATCGTCGTCCCGTCGCGTCGTCCCGTCGCGTCCAAGTCTCGATGCGGTCGACGCGTGCGTTTGAATCCTCGTGCGGCCTCGAGGGACTCTATCTCGAGTCACGACCCACGGTTGATACTCTACGAGCTATGACTCGTCTACGAGTCCCTCAGCCTCGATCGATCGCCGCACCGCGCCGTCGCCGTCGACGCCGTCGCTCGCCGACGCTCGACGACGCTCGCCGACGCTCGACGGCGCGTTCGTCGCGCGCGCGCGTCGCCGTCGAGCGCGTGCGTCTCCGGCGCGCGCGGCGCCTCGGGCGGTGGGAATGAGTAAGAAGAATAACCGAAAGACGGCGGCGGCGCGCATCGCCGACGCGAAGCGCGTCGAGCTCG